CCCCAAAACCCCAAAACCCCAAAACCCCAAAACCCCGCAATGACAGTTGATAAATGCTGATTAAGTTAAATTACAAAATCAAATTCTTAATGGAAATAAAACATAGATTAAACAATAACCATAGTTCAACCAGTAATATCATTACCCTCCCTAACAGAAGAAGCAGCTAGCATGAACCACAAATAGATGATTTTTTTATTGAAAATGCCGATAGCTGTCAATACAAATACGCTTCAAAGCTATAATCACCAAATAGATTAAAATCATAGAAATCCTTTGCTAATTACCAATAAAAATGCTGATCAAGAGGTATCATTATAATATGAAACAATAAATAATTTAGATTAAACGGAGATTGTTGAAATAAAGCCTAATCAAAGTACAGGCAGAGTCCAATTGAAAAGTTACAAAGGGACTCACAGAGATGACATGATTGAAGAGGACAAGGAATTCCGGATTCATCAAGAATAAATGTTAAGCTTTCATTAGAAACACATTGATGGTTGGAGATCCAATAAAAAATCTGAAAGAGAGATAAAAGACGAAGTTGAAAAGGAGCTTAAAAAAAAGATTAAGTTGAAGTACAAGAATCTCATTGAATAAAATGAGGTATACTAAGCAATTATTAAAGGTAAGCAATGATCATAATCTAATTATTGCTTTGTATAGAAAAAATGAGGATCATAGAGCATCAAAAAGATCATTAAATCATGGACCTGTAAAAATAATTGTAAAAAGAACTAAGAGAAAATAATCACATTTAGTAAAGCCTTATTTCACATAAAAATGAACTTGAAAAGCTATGACAAGACTATTATATGAAGTTTGAAGATCAATAACAACTGATAAATTCTCTTAAGTCTCAGGCAAATAAACAAGATGAATTTATCAAGCAATTAACTCATAAAAATGAGAAATACAAAAAGCACATCAAAACAATAAAAAAGCAAATGGAACTATAAAAAACTTCAAATGTTTAAAAGGATTAAAATAGTAATTAACTTTAAATTATAAAGTCAAACTACGAGACATAAGTATAGAAGTACTAAAATGAGATAAATGACATGAAAACAATACTTTTAAAGTACGAAGGACTTATTGAGAAATACAAAGAGTAAAATGACAAACTGAAATTTCATAATGAACAAAAGAAGACTCAAATGGATAATTTGTAATGTAGATTAGATCACCTTGTGCACGAAAATGAAAATCTGAGACAATTAAATAACCGTAAAAATGTGTCTTTTCGTTTGGAGTCACAAAAGGAAAATCAAAATAGCCATAATGCCCCCACATCATTTTCAACTACTGAAAAGTCAGACAATAATTTGCAGCTGAAAAATGTTGATTATGAAGATGATAGTGACAGTAATATATTGTCATAATCTGATATACTTACCCCAAAACCCCAAAACCCCATGATTCACAATTCTTAAAATATAGTAAATAGATCCTTTGCAAAATGAGTTCATTAATTAATTTGATGAGTAACGCCGTATTCAACAAACTTTTTACAAGCTATCTATGCATAGCTTAAACTTACTTTGTTGATAACCTTCTACCAGTAGTGAACTGTTGTCTCTGGCTTTGCGATATCCATTAAATTTTGTGTCAAAATATCAGCTAATTAGCTTAAATCCTAGACATCTTAGGCAGCATAACTAATAAATTCAGGGTTCAAAGGCCTGTTGTAGAAGATTTCATTAGTTTTGATGAAATCATTAAAAATCTCCTTAAATTTATCCTTGAATGTATTTACTCCATTTTTTACTGGATATCTTTTTAACACATCATTTAAACCAGGAGTGTTAACTCCCTTAATCTCATAATGCTTTCTATTTTTCTTCAGCTCTTTCAGTTAGCAAAACAGCATATGAACAGCCTAAATATCAAAACTATTCCTGACCCCTATATTAAGAATGAAGTGCAAGGCTTCAATATCTTTCCTTCCATCGAAGAATACCTTACGAATGCTTTCATTCATAAAAATGAAGCTCAAAACATTTTAAGCTTTTTCCATCAAAACAAGATCCTACTCAAGCATATAAATATCAAAGATTATAACTACTTCATCTGCGCAGCCTAACTGTAATAGAACTATATAACCATTCCTTTTTAATCTACCTTCTAAATCAACTCCTACTGATTCTTATTACCTAAGAATACTCGATGCTAAACTTAAGGTATTTTCATCATTAACTATCAAAATTTTGTTGTTCTTGTCTTTTATGTACTGTATTTCCTCGAATTGCTAGATATTATCGGTACTTATTGAAGAGATTGTTTGTGGATTTTACAAACATAGTGAACATTGCACTACGCTGTACTCTAAAATTGTATGGATGTCTTATTATTACTAATGAAATTCATTTAAGAAGATATTCGCTGAGCCTAACTTTATTATTCGATATTATAGCTTTAAGAAGCTAATCGGCACAATCTTTTCTAAATGGTCATCTTTTGTAATCGAATCGCTAAATTTTGTTCTCAAGTGATTATAAAGAGTTTCTACTTAGGTTATTCCATTAACAAATACCCTCTTCTCAAGTTCTTCGTGGAAAATTTTTGATAATGGGAATCTCTTACTTTAAGTTGGTAAGAATAGAGTATATTGCTAAATATCAATTTTCTCTATCAAATTTTAAGCCCAATCAAATTCAGAGTAGTTAGATTTTAAATGCTGCACTATATTATATTTAATTGTTTCGTTTGTCTCTAATATTCTGTAGAAATAGCCTTCCAAACTTTAGCATTATTGCTTAGCAACGATAAACAAAGGAGGATCCCTTAAGTTTATAATCTTATGATAAATCTTTGAAATCTCAGTGACTTAAATTGGCAATTTAAAATTCTCCTTCTAATCATCAATCATTTAAGTTATTATCTAAGTAGCACATTTCTAAACAACTTGATTATTTTAGTCAACATCATTAATAGGAAGCACTAGAATGAATGATCTCTTCAGATTCCAAGGCGGAAAACAAGTCTTCTTTTCATAAACAACTTATGCAGAGCATAGCTTATTCCAAGTCAAGGGTACACCTGCCTCAATAAATTTCTTAATAACTATAGACTTATAGAGGATGCAGTTTTAGCCTACCTCTTAGAAGAGTAGTCTCATGAATTCTGCTGTGATTTTTACTTACCATGGTCTTAAGATAAGCTTTTCTTCTTCAATCTGCTTAAGTCTTTCCAGCTCCATTTATCTGTCTGATGTTAAAAGTATATCATCTGTATCTATTTACTCTGATTAGTCACAAATATTTACTTCATCGAACTACTCTCCTATTTCCTCTATTTAATCATGATCTTAAACCTTTATCTCCTCCTATTGACTTTATGTTTGTGCTTTTTGGCTTTCATAATGTCCATACATAGTTTTCTTAAGTTTGCTGAATTTTTTGCCCTACGTAGTCTCTCTTTCAATCTAGCCCATAGTCATTTTTTTCCTTTCTTCATCTTCTTTGATAAGTTCAGCAATTACTTCATTATTAACAATGTCATTGCTGTCTATACCTTTTTAGATAAGTTCTTATTTTAGCTTTTCTAGCTCTTCATAAGTGTATACCTCATATTCTCTTGTCTGCCAGTTAAAAAGAACTGCCTTTTTCATGGCCTATAAATGACTTTTGATTGAGAAGAGTTCTTTCTTAATCTCTTTTAATTATTAAGGTGGAAGACGTGTCATATCTGATATGCCGTGAGCGAATTGACAATTTTCTGCTAGCTTAAGACACTTCTGTCTGAAATAATAAATGCACAAGTGAATTTTCCTGTTGACTTTTCTTAATTCTATATATCTTTAAGTCAATCTGTCCAAGTCATTGTCATTTAAGTGTTCCATGATTAAGTACTAATATTTATAATTTTTTCCTAAAATACAATATTAGTCCAATTAGCTTTGACTTGGGGTTTTGGGGTTTTGGGG